ATTTGTCTATTTTGCTTACGTGCTCTTCTAATTGCGTTTTGTGAAATATCTACATCATTAGCTTTAACACCACCTAAAAAATACAGAATAAAATTTTTCTTATCAACTCATCACACTAATTAAAAACTCATGAAACTGATTAGTGATTTAAATAACAATAAAAAAATAACCTAGAACCAGGATTGCTGAAACATTCATCGTAAGCTGTGCGTTTGATAGTTTAGATCTATCAGCTGTTGCTATTATCATTGAATGCCAAACAAATTTTCTTGGCAAAATTAAATTGAAATTATCTGATACAACATTTTCCACTACATCTGCAGAAGATTCAAAATTATTTACTTCGTAATCAATTTTAGAAGAGCTCTGAGAGTCTGAGTACATAGAACTTCTAGACCCAGCAAAAAATGATTCTTCAGTTGAGTCACAATCACTTTTATAAATGCTAAAATCAACTTCTTTATCATTTATTTTTCTTTTCTTTTTTTATTGATTCTTAATTTTTCTTTTTCCTCCTTTTCTATCTTTCTTTTGGCACTCAATTTCAACAAATTATCTTTTCCACCTAGTCCTCCGGTTTTTACTCCACTTTTAAGTGCTGAAAACCAGATAATATCTTCTTCTGCATTTAAATTTGATCTGTTTTTTTTAACATATTCTTTCCAATTCGGAGAATTGAAAGAACTAATATCAAATATATTATCCATTATTTTTTTGAAGCCTTGAATAAGTAAATCTTTTTTTGAAAAACATTTATGTTTAGACTTTGCAAGACTTCTCCATTTATCATGTAACTTAATAATACTTTTAACAATATACTTTTCCTGCTTGCAAGGAATATCAGCTTTATCCCAAAATACTTTAACGGTTTTCATCGTTAATTTTGCAGCTAATTTTAATTTTGAAATATTGCTTTTAGTACCTAATTCTTTTGTACATTTAGAAAACACTTGAAGCGAACTGTTCATCATTTTTTATTGATACCTTAACAAGTAAACAAAAGATGAATTGAAGTCTATTTTCTAATTGAAAAATAAAGTTATTTTTAGAAATAAAAAATTTAAGTTATAAAAATCTTTAAATAGTATAAACCTAAAAAATCTGTAGACATCTCTAGTAGTAGGCAGAGAACTGGTATTAATATCTGCCAGCGGATATCCAACCAACAATATTTCATTGGTTGATTTCAATAATTTTGAGTATTTCTTTTTGATTGACTCAGTCAAATAATTTTTGCAGACAAATTTTCTTTTCTTTTTTGTGTATGCAATGCCATGTTAAAATGTTAAAATGAATTAAATTGTATGACTGCTAGAAAAATAATAATACGTAAAACATCTTTATTTCTTAAAAACGAATGGAAAGATGAATATAATTATAGAATCAATAAATTATGTTGCTTTCTTAAAAAATATAGTAGTGTTATGATACTTGCTTTATGATACTTCGTTTTTTTTTTATTAACCTTGTTTTTTAAATGCATCTATGTTGTTTGAGAATAACAAATTATTTTATTTTAAATAAAAAATCTTTAAGTATCGTGATCGCATGGTATTTAATTATATAGAACAATTTAAATTACATTTCTTTTCGTACATAAACTTTATGATTTAAGCGGCTGTTACTTATGCAAAATACTTAGGAAAAAAAACAGTAATTAGAATAAAAATATAAAAAATTAGTTAAAATAGATAAAACACTCCTGTATGCTGCAAAAGACTATGTTGCTTACATTATTTTTGAATAAACAAGAATGCGTCGCATGTCACATGAAAAACAATAGAAATATGCCGTTATTAGTAAATATTATGCCAAACAACTTAAAAAATGGAACAGAAGCAATGGAAGTTTTGTGTTTTGGATTTATTCGTATAACTGAATCTTAAAATGAAATTCGGCTGAACTTAGAAATGAGCTACGTTAATACTTTCTAACAAAAAATGATTTTTATAGTAAAAGGTACAACATTTTATGCAGCTACTAGTAAAATTAATACTTTGAAAAATTTATGTGGGACTGTGGCCTACCCTAATATTTATATATATATATATATATATATATATATATATATATATATATATATATATATATATATATATATATATATATATATATATATATATATATATATATATATATATATATATATATATATATACATATATATATATATATATATATATATATATATATATATATATATATATATATATATATATATATATATATATATATATATATATATATAAAGGGTGACCAGACGTACTCTTTTTAAGAGTATTATACTCTTTTTGAAGCAAAATTTTTTATACTCTCTCTTTTTCAAAAAATCACAAAGTATACTCTTTTTTTTAAAACTACTGATTTAAAAAATTTATTTCTTTGAAATGAACTATAAAAAACGCCGTGGATAGAGTACCGAAAGTCTTAATTTCTAATAGCGCGTTTATTGGTTGCTAAAGGTCACGTGTACAACAAATCTCGTTTTTATATAGAGCTTTATATAAAGACTTTCGGTTTCGACCACAGCCTAGTAAATGATTTTGCGCAGATCAGCCTAATAAATGATTTTGCGCAGGTCTCGAGGAAAGTGCAAATTTTTAGATATATTTGAAGAAACTTATACATTCGCCAAACCAGTGAAAAGCGATCAACATAAACTTTTCTGCACTATTTGTAACACAACAGTTTCTATAGTTAATAAAGGCAAATGTGATATTGTTCAACACGCAGCTTCAAAAAAACATAAAAAATGTTCATCAGTTTCTACAAAACAAAAGCTAGAAACTTTTTTTTTCTCAAAAAATTTAGCTGCTAATGATTCAAAACTTACAGTCATTGAGCTTGTATGGTCATACCACAACGTAAAACACGACCATTCTTTTAGGGATATGGACTGCACATCAAATCTATTGAGAAAATCCTGTGATTTTAAGATTACGTGTGGAAGAACTAAGTCAGAGAGTCTTATTAACAATGTAATTTTAAATTGGTCTGAAGATTTGTTAAAAAAAAGTTTGCAACAAGCAAACTTTGTTGTTGTTGCATGTGATGTTGTAGTAAGATTCTGTGTTGTTAAGCCAGCTTTCGAAATAAAGTCTTGTATTTTAAAAGTTCATAATCTTCCAAATGAAACTGCAGAAACAATAGCAAATATCATTTTGAAAGATATTAACTTTTACAATATACAAGATAAAGTTGTTGGATTTTCAGCAGATAATGCAGCTGTAAACTTTGGTGCTTTATCAACTAATAAAACTGCAGGTAACATCCATGCAAAGCTTGAAAAGAATTTACAGAGAGAACTTTTGGCAATAGGATGTGCTGATCATATATTGCATAATGCACTCTCTGCAGCTACTTCACGTGTAATTCCAATAGATATTGAAAATATAATGCTAAAAACATATCATCAGTTTAATATATTTACTGTTCGGACAGAAAAATTGAAATAGTTCTGCAACTTTATAGGTTGCCAATTCAAAATGATTCTCTCACATTCAAAGACACGATGGCTCTCATTATCACCATGTATAGACAGAATACTTGTAATGTTTGAACCTTTAAAGTCTTATTTTTTAAGCGAAGAAAACTCTCCACTTGCAGTTTTTAATTTTTTCAATTCTGAATCTTCAGAATTTTGGTTGCTTTTTCTTCAACCCCAATTTCATTTATTTTCTGAGACCGTAAAAAAAATAGAAGGAAATGATAAAAGTGCAGTGGAAGTGTCAACTGAATTCTTTAAGCTAATAGCAAATTATGAAAATAGACTTGAATGCAGATTCATACCATTTATGGCAGATAATCTTTTAAAAAAACTTGAAGCAGGAGGATTTTTAAATAGAGAATATGTGATTTCTGTTGAAGTAAAATTTTATACCACAGTAATTGATTATTTGAAAAAGTGGGCTGGAAGATTTTGTAATGAAGCATGTAATATGAAGTACCTTATGTTAAAGGAGAAATTTTCATATGACGAATTTAAGGAAGCTTACATATATTTTCTTAATCGAACTAAATCGTTGCCTATTCCTGTCGTTAGTGATAATGAGATTTTTGACTCTTATTGCTTTCTTAAAACTTGCTTAGATGTAAATCTAGAAGAATGGGAGGCCAAGTCTGTTCCCATAATATCGAGGTGGAAAACCATTTTAGAGGGTATAAACAATTCTAATTTAGTCATAAAACTTCAGCTGGTGGAAATGCTTGCTGCATTTGTATATACTGTACCAGGAACTAATGCAGAATGTGAACGTTTGTATAGCTTAGTAGGTCAATACTGGACTGAAGACAAAAGCCAATTGAAAATTTCTACACTTGAGAATGTAATGAAAGTAAAAATTAACATCGGTCTTTCATGCAATCAATTTTATGAAGAAATAAAAGGAAATAAAACTCTGTTATATAAAGCAAATAATTCTGAAAAGTATGACTGAACTAGTTTCATGTAAAAAAATATTTTATATGAAGATAATATTTGTTATGCAAGTTGTACTTGCATTTTTGAGGCTTTTTTAATGTGTTTCATTAATGGATAAATATATATATATATATATATATATATATATATATATATATATATATATATATATATATATATATATATATATATATATATATATATACATATATATATATATATATATATATATATATATATATATATATATATATGTATGTATATATATATGTATATATAGTATATACATATATATATACAGAATTAAATATTTTTATATGTTCATAACTCATATATATATATATATATATATATATATATATATATATATATATATATATATATATATATATATATATATATATATATATATATATAGTATATATATATATATATATATATTTATATATATATATTTATATATATATATATATATATATATATATATATATATATATATATATATATATATATATATATATATATATATATATATATATATATATATATATATAAATATACACGCATACAAATAATATAGCTTTTTGGACACCATGGAGCAGTTGGTCAATTTGTAATACATATGGGCTTATGAACAGATCTAGAAGTTGTAATATTTCAAACTCAGGGGATTTTTGTGCTGGCAATACCTTTGATGTAAAGGAATGCTATGGTAACATTATATATTATTTTTATATTACTCTATAAAATCTTCATTATTATAAAAAAAAAAGTATTTGAAAAAGTAATTAGTTTTTTTAATTGTTTCCATGGTCTTTATAAACGTTTTAAAAAAATTAGCTAATAATAAAATTGCTTTTATTTCTAGCTTTGGATTTGTACTTTTTACTAAAGGAGAAACTAATGATTCGGAAGAAACTAGATAAGAATTCGCAATCCCTTATTTGGTACTTCTTAAATAAATTCAACACCCGTGCGTTTTTAAACTGGCATTGCAAAAGCCATTTAATTCAAAATTAAGTGTATTGAGTATTTTTTGCAGTCTTGCTGTATCATCTAGGTATATATACGGAAACCAAACGTAAGTCACAAACAAGTTCCTTCCAAATCTTCGCAACATCTTCAATAGCTTAACACCACCCTAATTTTATTTACAAATTGATTAGAATGCAATTTTACAAATTTTAGTATCAGTATTAGTAAGGTGGTACGAGCCAGTGAGTGTGGTATTAACACACTATGACAGCCAATCCGCTTGATTGCTGCTCATCCAGCAATCAAGACCTGCTTTAAAAGTGTTAACTGATAGTGTTTTAACCAATTTGCTAGGCAAACTATTCCACAAACTGGCTGATCTTAGAATAAAAAGTTTTCACGTCACGCTTGCTTAGTGATTTCTTTGACATATTTAAAGCTGTAACGTCTCGTTTGAGTTTGTTAAATACTAATTTTTTTGATTGTTTTCAAATCATTAACATAGTTTAAAAATTTGAAAAGTTGAATCAAATCTCCATGTTATCTCCTTTTTATCAGTCTGTTACTTTTTTTTCATCTATTATTTAGGTGCCCCAAGAAGTCGTAATGGTCTTGTCACAGAGCAACGCGGAAGTGCATTTAACCAGGAAGTTCACGCCTCCTTTCTTACCGTGACATGAAATATGTCTAAAGCTCCTTTCGAACCTGGATCTCCTGCTTATAAAGCAAGCGCTCTAACCACTGCACCATGGTTGCACAAGTCTACTATTCAAGTTGACTATTCAAGTCAACTATTAAACTAGTCGAAACAAAGTTGACTAAGTCAACTATTCAAGTCGAGAGCTTTTAGATAATATATTCTTAGGAGTCTTATATCTAAACAAATGAAGCATATTTTAATCCGACCCAAAATTTGGTTATCTATGCATTTTATTACGTGGTTTTTCATTTTCAGATTGCTTGAGAAGATTATTATAAGATTACTTTCAGATTCTTTTATGTTTAACTTTTGTTCGTTGATATAAAGAGGTGATTTTTTGTTATTCCGGCCAAAGTGTATGACATTTCGAAATTAAATTTCACAATTTAATATTTTGAAAAATCACAATTTTTTGTTATCTTCCTTTTAAAAATGCTTTGATACATTGTACTGTCAGACCAGATATTTTATAAAGTTGTTAGTTTAAGCAACAATATTTTATGCGGCATTGTGTCAAATGCCTGGTGAAATCCAAAAAAACAACATTAACAGGTTTACCATTTTCTAGTGCAGTTGAAAAAAAATCAAGTATTTCAAGTAGTTTGGTTGAGCATGATTTATTTTTAACAAAACCTGTCCCTTGACTACTAATATGAACTTCTATAGAAAAGTTTCAAGTTTAGATCTGATTATACCTTACATTATTTTACATGCAATTGAGGTGAATGATACCGGTCGTTAGTTTCCTGCTAAGGTTTTTTTGCCTTTTTTGTACAGAAGAGTGATATTCGCTGAACTAAATTGCATAGGTAGTTTGCTGGTTTCAAACGACTCTTTAAAAATATATGTAAGTAAAATGGTCAAGGGTGTCCACAGCTCCTCTGAAATCCTTTAAAGTCCTCTTTTTTCAAAAAACTTCTTTAAAATCCTCTATTATCCTCTAAAAAATTAAAAATGTCACAAAATCTCCTCGTTAAATTCTCTTTTTTATTATTTTTTTATTTCTTAATGGTAGTATATTATAAATGATGAGCCCGCGGCAAGCAGTTCTTAACCAAAACTTAGTACTTAGTACTTAGTACCATGGCCATGTATGAGTTTTAGCAATTGCTTATCATTTTTTTGGCCTTGGTGAACACTTCTGTGTTCACCAAGGGTACTTAAAGATATCCTCAAGGGTACTTAAAGATATCCTCACCAGGGGTACTTAAAGATATTCTCTAACATTAAGTCGATTCAGTTGCGCACAAGGTATCCCATATAAATATTATCTCTTTTCTATCAACATTAACTCAGTTTCTTTATAAGCCGAGACATTGTCTATTTTCACTTGGATAAAATTCTTTTCTCCAACTTTCTCAATAAATTCATCAAGCAATTTAAAAAGCAACTTCGCATTTTTCACCTAATTCAGTTGTAAACTAAACAATTTATTAGTGTATAGGTCAATTTATTCTTTGTATAGGTCTGACCGTTAGACACTACAACCAGTCTAAATCCATGAGATTTTCGCTTCATCGACAATGGCAGCTATAAAATTTTTGTACCTTTTAGAATCCATGTTTGCAAATCGTTTATAGTCCCTTTTTAGATCCACATACATCATTCATAATGTCCTAATGTGAAGATCTTGTTGTTACAATGAACGATATTGAATTCTTGGAGAAAAAATTTCCGATAGACCTGCAAATCCGCCTTCTTTTGTTTTTCTTTCAACTCTCATTCAAGGTTACTAGGTGCATTTGATAACCCATGCAACAATCAGCACAACCGCTACCAATATTTGCTTGTTGTTTAAAGAAATTCATGGGGCCATAAACTTGTTTGTTGAACTTGACAGCACATGAACCTATTGGTGCTTTTTTTAATTGCGGACTGTCTTCAGTGGCAAATGGCTCCTGCATTTTAACTAAAATAAAAGTAAAAAAATAAAAACTAAAGTAAAATTCAAATAGGGAAACAGTTCTTAACAAGGCCTGTAATACGACGTCACATACACAAAAAATTTTGGGTTCAACAATTTAAATTAAAGCCGCATCCATCCTATTAAATGGACTTATTAGACCAATAATTAGAATAAAACTTTTAAATCAAAAACTTTCCCATTTTTACTAATATCTAAATGATATTCATAAGGAGATGACGTATTTTTAGCGACCAGAAAATGTCAAGAGAGCGGTAAATCTAAAATCGAAGTTTCAAATTAAAATGTGAAATAAAAATGAAAAGTCTTGATAAAGTGTTAATTAATATAACTGCATTCGGTATAAGAGTTTATAAAATTGTTTGTTTTTCAATTACATGCCTAAATTTGATAGATCAGTGGTTTAGTGCGCTGTCATCGGTGCCATTTTGCCAGGGTTTAAATCCGCCTTTTAAATACTTTAAATTTTTTCAACCTGGTCATATATATTTATAGCAAAAAAATTAATATAACTAAAAAGACTTTTAATTATAAAATAAAAATTTAATGTTTTTTTTCTAGCGAACAATAGGATTTTTAAAATAGCTAAATTTTCTAAAAACATCAAAACACCGCGGTGTTTCGATATTTTTAGAATATTTAGCTTTTTTAAAAATCAAATTTATTATAAAAATTTAATTTTTTTCTAGCTACGGGCTTTTCTTTCCCAGGCTTTTTTTTCCCTTTTTTGTTTTTTACTCTTATTATTACCGGGAGAAATTTGTTGGGTATGTGTCATGATTGAGATACTTACGTTATTAATGTGCTTAGGTAATTAGCCCTAATAAGCTGCAATTAGTTTCAGACCATAGTTTTTTCAGACCATCTGCTCCTGGTGCACCGGGAGAAATTTGTTGGGTATGTGTCATGATTGAGATACTTACGTGCTTAAGATACTTGATTGAGATACTTAATGTGCTTAGGTAATTAGCCCTAATAAGCTGCAGATGGTCAAAAAATTATGGTCTGAAACTTAATAAAAGCAAAAAACAAAAAAAGAAAGAAAAGCCCGTAGCTAGAAAAAAAACATGATTTTAATTTTTATAATAAATTAGATTTTTAAAAAAGCTAAATTTTCTAAAAATATCAAATATTCAAATATTCTGAAAAACCTATCGTTTTTTATAGTGTATAATATCTTTACATATGTTATGTATGTAATATCTATAAAATTTCCAAACTGTTTTATTTTGTTTTTTAAAAAAATCTAAAATGATTAAGAAAAAAAGTTACCGATGTTAGTATTCGAACCACGGTTTTTTCGTTCAGAAGCTCTGCAAGCAAACTACCCCGACATGCTGGCATGTCATGTACCATAAACCGGGGTTACTTTAAACAATTTTGAGATATTTTTATATGCCCGTCCTTCATTACTGGCAATAAATAAAATTTAATAAAATGCATATTTCAGGTGTTAAAATTTAATAAAATGCATGTTCAGGGGCTAAAATTTAATAAAATGCATGTTCAGAGGCTATGGTTGACTTTTACATAATTAAAATTCAAAATAATATTTAAATGAAAAGAATCAGTATATTATTAGTTTAATTCAAAGTTGAATAACATTAAATTACCCATTAATAACATTAAAAGTTAACATAATAACATTCAAAGTTACCCATTATATAACATTAATAACGTTTGAATTGAATTGAATAACATTAAATACGTTTTGTTGTAAAATCAAAACATATTAAATTATATTGCTTTGTTTTTAAATTCAATAAAAACAATAGTCTAGGTTTCATAAAGTTATTTTTACTAAAGCAATTATTATTTTATAATGAACTTCCAACTAGTTCTTTTTTCTTTTATTTTTGACTTAATGATTATGTTTTAACAGAACCTGCATAAAAAGAGTCTGCATTACTTTGTTTTTTATGTATAGAGATATTAGACAAATTCACTTACAGATGAAAATACAAGTGGAACATCCTTAAATGTTGTCCGAAAATCCTTGAAAGAAATGCTTTTTCCAGGGTCAACAAGAATTTTTTTTTTTTTGTTTCATTAGGCTTTTTTTTATCCTCAACATCAACATGACGCAATCGCTTAAGTACATTAATTACTAGGCTAGGCTAACATTATTTTGAACAATTTCAATATTTTTATCAGCATCTGGCAAACGATTTTGAACAATACTAGCATTTAATGGGTAAATAAAACATTTTTCAAAACTAGCTACTAAACTGTTGCTTACCTCTTAATTTAATGAATATAGATAAGTATACAAAGTTTTCAATAAAGAGGGAAGTTTATCTTTTGTAATAGTCTGTGCTTTTTTTGAAAACAAGGTTTTCCACTGATCAATTATTTTTCTCCAATACCTTTTAAGTGCTCCATAAAATGCAGGATCGAGTGGTTGCAATAAATGGGTAAATTTTGCAATTAAGCAAACAAACAAAATACTATTTTCTTTAGCTAACTTAAGTACTTTAAGGGTGAACCACAAAACACAATTGATGTAGCACTCTTACTACTGTTTTGAATACGTTCAGGATGCTTCACCTCTCTTTTAAATATACATCGTTTGGTTGCAGGATTATCGGACAAATTGGTTTTATCGTTGTTAAAGATATTACAAGAAAGAATTTGTTTTTTTTTACTTTATTTTAATGTAATATTCAAATTATCAAAGAATTAATTAACTTCAGAATATGTAAACGATGCCTAAGACTTTTTAATATTCTGACTCATTAGTTTTAAAAAAATTAACTAAATAGGAGAAAAAAAAGAGCCCACTCTTTTCCAGGAAAGTTATTGTAAAAATCAGGAACAATTCTGCCATCGATATCTAAAATTGACTCTCGTAAAACACGAAAATCCAGGATATCAAAAGGAAAACGCCAAGCAACAACAGCAATAACATGTTGTACAATTACTAGTTCTTGTATATTTTTAAAAATTTTTGGTTTTCCAGGTGTTTTCGGATTAAGTTTCATAGTCTTGTTATATTTTGATTTTGTTATTCATTTTCTGACACCCCGTGAATATCTGATGCTTTTTTGTATGACAAACCACCATCATTAATAGCTTCTATAGTTTTTGAAACTTAGTTCTCAGTATATTTTATATATCGCCTGGCATCAATTTTTTTTTATAAAAACATGGCATAGTATGCTATGAAATGCTAAATTAAAAAAAAAATTCAAAAGTGAAAAACAATACTTTCAACATATTTTATGCAACACAATTTTGAATATAACTACACAAAAATTACTTGACAATTTTTTTACAATATTGTAAAAAATTATGTATAAATAAATATGTATATGTTACACCTGATGACTAAAAAATTAGATAAATTAGACTCCCAGAAGTCCTTACGATCTTATCACAGAGCACCGGGGAAAAGCATTTAACAGGAAGTTCACGCCTCCTTCCGTACCAATGTCGCTTGTTGGGCTAGAGCTGACGTCGAACCTCGGGTCTCTGGGTTCTGATCCAGAACTCTAACCACTGCGCCACGGCTGCTCTATTCAATGTTGTACTTTCATATGTGAAGTATGATTCGTCATCCAAGACAAAATCAAAATTTCTAAAGTTGCGATATATATGCCGACACAAAGGTTTGATTCGAGCTAGTTGGCTTTCGCTTCAATGTGGAATCTTTTTTTTATTGTCATATCTAATATTCGTCTTGTTTTTAAGAATTTTAGATATATACAATTAGTCACAATCGAATCTTCGATTGCGAAACACCGTTATGATGATCGAATGCCTTTTTCAATTGGTCTATGTGCTTTTCGTTCATTTTTTTTACCTTTGGACCGCTTCCTTTTTTTTGTCGATAGCCTAAATTGCTGTCTACACGTTCTAGAGCACGATATATGGTCGCTTTCGATGCTCCTTCATCTAGAAAGTGTTTTACTGCGAACATTTTTGGTTTTTCCAGATGCGAATTTTTAAATTGGCAAATTCGTTTTCTTAGGTTTTCTTGTAAAATTATTTTATACGGAGCCATTTTAATTAATATTTTTAAAATATAATATAACTTTAATAAAGTATTAAATTCACCATAAATATACTATTTTATTTCAATTGCATGATTATTAATAGATACAATAAATTGATTTAAATTTTGTCTCATTTTTTAGTCATCAAGTGTTTAAAAGTTTTGTGGACGTGGACAGTTATTTGTTTTTGATACAGCACATTGTATTTTTGCGTTAAAAATTAATTCTCTGGATTGAGAAACGGTTTATTAATCAAAACTGACATGAATCAAAACATTAGTTTTAAAACTTAAAAACCAATCAACAAAACCTTCAGGAAAAGTAAATAAGGCGTTTAAAAATAAAGATTTTGAGCTTTTATGGCCGCCTAAATATTGATGACATTGTTGCAGCTAACCTTTTTAGCCAAAATCTTCTTTAATCAAAATAATCAAGTATCCGTAACGTAATCGTAACCCATGGTCAAACGGAGAGAGTTTTTTATAGTTTTTAGTTTACTAAACGGTTGTTCACTCTCAGCAACTGACTTAGAAAAAGTGTTAAAAATCCGGAAAATTATACTAATGTATAAAAAAAGGCGTTCAAGCTTCTAAAAAAAAAAGCTTCTAAAAAATTAGATCAAGTAGCTGCATTGAATTTTCTTCCTTGAAAATTGTTTTGCAAGCATTTTTTAAAGACAAACTTCTTTGATGAGAATCTGTTTGTTCATATCTCTTAGATAAAACAGTGCAGGTTTTAATACTTTCTTTTAAACAGAAAGATTATTATTATCCAAACAGACGAATGAAAACATATTGCCAACCATCCTTCTCGTCTCAAATATTGAATCAATCTGCTTGATCAAACTATCTAAATTAACATTAAAAACGTTCACTTTAAGTTCTTTTGTTCGGCTGAAAAGGAAATGAACTGTGTTTGATGCCTCATCTTGAAAGTGCCTTAGCTTACGCTTTCCTTTGGTAGCAAGTTCAGCTTCAGTTCCTAGCGGTTCAGCTACTACTACAGCCTTTTATAAAATTTGCAACCAAGAGCCCCTAATTCTTATTAGATTTTCCAGCAGCTGTCCAATCAAACGTAGCTCGTCATCAATAGTAATGGCTGCAGATTGTAGAAATTAACTTACGTTAACAGTATTAAAGTTTTTGCATCGAATTGTAACTAGCAATACAAATTGAAATGATGATAATTAATTTATAAGTCTCTTGTTTGACTGAGCTACTCACTGGTCAAACATTTTGACCAGTGATTGATCAAGTCAACAAGAGCTTGATCAAGTCAACAAGAGAGCTTCACCCTGTTATAGAAAGTCTATTAAATGAAATCCCAGTTGCTTCAGTGAGAATTTTCCATTGAGTAAGACTTATACTAAAAAATAAGTACCAAGGTTCAAAATTTTTAAAGATTACTTTGATCTCGATGACTGATTCAATTGCGTATACACCAGCCAAATTCAGACTGTAAGCGCTACCGGGAACGAACAGAGTTTAATAAATTTGTGAATAATTTTGCCTTATTAAGACTTGAGCTCCCTTGTAAGCACCTGAAAATTTCCATTTTCCCCACCATTCACATGTGTTTTTTCACCTGCAAACATAGTTGTGTATAACAACTTAACTAAATTATTACAACAATTATATAAATAATTAATAAATAAAGTTGATATTGAAAAACCTTATAATAATCTAGAAAAGTTAAATTCCTAGAAGCCAGGAAAACAGTCACATTTAAAATTCAACAAAGAATTGTTCGTCAATTAGCTCTCTCAGAATTTATTCACTTTTGGAACTCTAAATATATACCAGTGAAGCTTGTAAAACGAATGTATGGCTTTTTCCAATCCATGTAGAAATTTAGTGTAATGGCTGGATTGATGCTGCTTCACACAATACATGAGTTTCCTCAGTTGATCCCTCGCTCCTCTATGCCAACAAAGAAGGGACAATTACCTACTTTTGAAAACTGCATTCGTCCTGTGTTTTTTTTTAAATAATTACATCTTGATCTTTTTGACTCAAAACAACTGGTCACAAAGAGGGGTTATTTGTAATTATTACCAAGTCACTGCCCGTATTTAACAACTGCAATTCTTCTTGTTCAATAATGCCAATATTTAATGCTTTACAAACTTCAACTTTTTTAGGATGATCTGTTGTTTGCAAAAAACAAGAAGCTGTTTTGAAGTCAAGAAATTTTTGTACAATCTGTTGTGGATGACCATGTGTTCCCTTCATCATTTTTTTATAATTACTTAGCCGAGCTTCAAAACAAAACATTGAGTAATTTGTAACACTTCCATGCATTTTAATAATATCGCTAACATGACCATATATAAAGGAAGCAACTCAGACAATGATTTTTGATAAAAGTTAAACAGCTGACTAATAAGCAACACCTTATCTAAACATATTTCACTGCTACACAAACGCATACTAATTACTAGAGAATAAATCATCATCATGCAGTCAGGATTCAAATATGGTAAAAAATATGGAACTGCTAAGTATAAAATAAAGTTTTTAAAGTCATGGCCTTTCCAATGTGTGAATGATTTAATAGTTAATGGCTTGGGCATGTTATGTGGCATTTTTTGATCAGCAAGTAAGATTTCCATAGCATTTAATTTTGCACTACCAATAAAAAATGATTCGTGTTTATTGGTAACAGAAAATAAACAAACTAAAAGCTTTTTTGAGCAATTTTCGTAAAACAAATGTAACACATCAATAAGTATCATATCTGGCACTTTAATAAATGAAATGTCACTAAAGATGTTTGAGCCTTTAATTCCAAATATAGATACTTTTGATTTTTCGGCTAATCTAGCATATATGGCATACATTTCAGATGTTTTAAGATTATAATTTGTATCTGAATGTGAATAAATTCTAGCGGAACCATGTTTTCTTTCAATTGTTCTATCAGGATGTTCGCAATAGTGACATCCAAATTCACCATTATACTGCTTATGATTGATGATTGAAGCCACTGCAGGCAAATCGAAAACAAAACCAACAATATGAATAACTACTTGGATATTGTTAATTTCAAGGGGTGTTTCAAACAGTTTTCCATTGATGTACTCCTAAAAAAAGTTAGTAATATAGTAACGTTGCCCAATTTATTCTTGTCACGGCTGGAACAGTGAATTCTACTACTATAGGTAATTCCATTGACAACTACTTTTAAAATAAAAAATAACAATCAATAATTTAATTACCTTTAAATAAGCATTCCAATTAGGTTTTAATAATGAGAACCATAAACCAAGAAGTAGTGTGTTTTCAAATAGGAATCGTTTATAAGATGGTAAATCTAAAATAATAGCATGAAATGGCCACATTGTAATCTTTTTTTTTGTGTATGGTTCTCCACCATCTGTTGACATCAATAAATGAATATGTAAAACATTTGCAGACTTCATATTTTCAACAAAATTTGGTCTAGAAATAAAATCACTCTTTCTTTTACCTGACATAATTTCCAATTGATATGATTTAATTGCATCCAAATTCAGAAATAAAACAAGTTTCATTTGGCTAATGATAAATTAATATAAAGATATGGGATGAACAATGAGTATTTATTTTACACGTGTCAACTAAAGCTGTGCAGCAATTATGACAATAATATTTATGCGTTGGTTCAGTATGGGAGAATATATTTTTAGTAACAAATCTACGAATCATTTTATGAGATGACGGCATGTCATTTATACAGCGAAAAATCTATTAAAAAAATTTAAAAATTAAAAATATATTTTTTCAAGCTTTATCAACCAAACTAAGCCTGGGCCAGACCCCAGCCTCAAGTTGAAATAAAAATATGACATACTTCATTATTTTTATAATTTAATAATTTGTAAAAAAAATAATTTGTAAAAACTATAGATATAAAATATATAATATATAATTGTAAAATATTATTTAATATATAATTTGTAAAAAAAGTCGGACAAAATTTTCACAAGTAAAATGTTTTATAATTAGGAACGTTCTGCATTACTTTATCAGACTTTTTTTACGAATTATTGGCAATGTGCACCATTTCTGGTAGCAGCCAGAGATAAATAGCCAGATCAACATTTATTGCTAAGGACTAAGTTGATTGATAATTTTATTAGCTTCACAATATTCATTTACAAGTACATTGCACAATTTAAACTACATCTAACATACCAGCAAAGTCTTCAAAAATCTATCAAATGCGATTTCAGTAAATGAATTGCTAATCATTAAATACAACAAGGTTAAAAACATAAACTTTTTGTTAACAATTGAATCCAATAAAGAACATTCAAATGGATTAGAACTAAAGAACTGAAACATGGAAGCACTCGATTCTTCCTCAGACACTAGAATTTGATTTTCTTCCTCAGATACTATAGATACAATTTCTTCTGTCTCTTGGGTAAAACTACCATCATTAACATTATCATCTGTATTGCTACAGTCGGACTGAGAACTACTATTAGTAATTTCCTCTTCAGAAGAAGTAGACTCAGCCGTAAAATGTAAAGTTCTTCTCTCGTACTTTCTATTAAAAAAATTTCGTTTCATTGCACATATATTCACCATTAATAAAATTTTATGAGTCTTTACTTATAAATAACTGTTATTTTTGCACGGGTATCTTGTGTGGCCAGACAGGTTTGCTGGGCTCATGCAAGCCATGTCTAACGTGCGCCGAAGAAACCTGCCTGGCCGCACTTACACTGCAGTATAAAGTCCAATGAAAGCATGCTTGTAACTTCAGTTACAATCATAAAATCGATTACCTAATATTAGTTGCAATAATATTGCAATAATATTACAATTATATTGCAATTATATTGCAATTATATTGTAATATTTTAACAACAATCTTGCTACTGCTTATAAACCCATTAAATTTATGTAAAACAAAAAAATGACACAGGCAATTAGATAAGCATCAGAATTATTTATATTTAAATGCATCTAAATTACATTTACAAACACATTACATTTGTATAATTTTATTGATATTTTATTGGACAATTAATTGAGTAATATATAGCAATTTAAATTGAACGCGCAATAATATTGCAATATGTTGTAATAAACCGCAATATATGTCGATTAGTGTATACCCGTTAAAATTATTTTTTTCTAAAGATTCCATCCATCTTGAGATCAAAATTATGCGTGGTCTACAAAATAGTATGTGCAGCACATAGTTACAGTTATGTAGGCAAGACTATTCCCTATCTCAAGACACAGATAGCTAAACATTATAAGAGCGACAAAAGGTCGCTCTTATAATGTTAGGTATATTTATTATTATGATCATAAATAGAATAGAATAGAATAATAATCTATTATTATGATCAATCAATTGTTCCGTATAATCAAATGATAGCGTTTTTCCAATTAGATTTGGCATTTAATAAGTTTTAGTTAAAACTTAAAGAAAGCATGTTCATAGCATGGTTAAAACCTGATATGAACAAACAGATTAACCTTGCCTAAATCTAATTTTTTGTTTAGCTATTACTTTTAATATATAATGTGTAACCTATTCTTTCATCACTTCCTATTTTTCTTAAGTTTGATTTTTTTTTTTAATTTTATAGACTTTATTGTATTTTAAAATAATATTAATAGTTAGTAAACAGATAGGGGAGAGTGTGTATGAAAGAGCCAGTTTTAAAAAGGAATAAAAAAAAGTCAATTAGGGTTAATTTTTTTTTTTTTTTAAATAGTTACTTTATTGGGTAATATTATAGAATTAAAATAAATTGGATAAAAATGCTAAAAACCTGTCATAAACCTATTTTAAAAAAAGATGGAAAACGGCTCTTTCATAACATTGTGTCAATGAAAGAGCCACCACTGTGCCATGAATAAGCCGTAACTTTTTTTTGAACACTATCAAGTCTTTTTTAAATATTGAACTGTTAAATAGACTTCTAAAAATCAGATTGTACTTAAAGTTTTATAGCTCTATGATAATCAATGATAAAACAAATAATAAAACAGCTTTAATAATAGTTTTCCAAATTATTCAAAATCAAAAACTACAAAATCAAAAACTACAAAAACATCAGAAACATTTTTGGCAGAAGAAGTTTATCACACCTTTGAAGCCACAAGATTCATGTGCCCATCCTTCACATACCTTACACTGGTACCATTCTTCGTTGGTCTTACCATATTGTCCATTACATGTAATACAATGATTTTTATCATCCCCTTTACAAACATTCTGTTTTTTTATTTCTGATAAATCTATTTTATCATTGGAGCTTGCATCATTGTGCAATGATATGGTACCACTAGAATCAATGGAATCATACTTTTTTTTTCTATATTTTTTTGTTTTAAACTTCTTAATAACACTTTTTTTAGGATGTTTTTTTTGTTTCTTTCCCCTCAATTTTATTTTTCTCAGGAGTGTCTGTGATTATAGCAGAGGCCATTTTACGATCCTTAGATTTTAAATTCTTTCTAGGTCCTGATTTTAAATGAGGCCTTACAATTTCAGGACTAACAACTTGTTGCTGTGATATTGATGGTTGTATTAAAGATTCTGACAATGTTATTATTTTAGCCAAACTATCTGTTTTTGTGGGTTTAACATTTGAGTTTCGAGGAACATCTGTATGGACATCAAAATCAAGTATGTAAGTATCAATATGGGCAGTGCTGAGTTGTGTTGAGGATATCAAGTTTTGTGGAGTAGCATCATCTAAAAGAACTGGCTCAGGTCTACTAGTTATGAAAGATGTAAGGAAATCATCGTCAGAAAAGTTGTTGGAATTTAAAGGGTAAATGCCAGTCTTGATAAATCCATTTGTAATATTTTTCATGCTGAAAGCGGCTAAAAAAGCATCTTTAACTAACTGCGCAACCTGATAAATGCTTACTGTTTTTCCAGGATTTGATAGCATCCAATCATTCATAGCTATTCTGTATCTTGTTTTAAATGGGCCATAAACTGTAACATCTAAAGGCTGTAACCTATGGCTGCAATGTGGTGGAAAAGTTATAATTTTTACAAAATGTTGTCTAGCAAATTCACACGAAGATTAACATGGGAGATATGATTATCTAATATTAATAAAGCAGGATTATTTTCACTTGGTTTTACATGGCTTTCTAAATGTTCCATTGCTTTAACGAAATTATTTTCAGTCATCCATCCTGAAACATGTGATAAACCCAATGCTCTAGAAGGCCCATTATTCAACATGTGATCCTTATAATTTACTCGAGGAAAAATAAACACGGGAGGTATAGTACCACCTCCAGCATTAACAAAAAAAAGAGTAGTCACAAGTGTACCTCGTTCTGCTGATGTAACCTGCCCTACTTGTTTTGATCCCTTTGCAGCTATAATCTTTGGAGGAGCTGAAACAGTACTGCATCCTGTTTCATCCGTATTAAAAATCATGTGTGATGGAAATCTATACTTTTTGTAAATGCTGGTTAGCTTTTCAAAGAACGTGTTAACATTTGTGTTGAAACTTGTTGCTCTGGACAAAGATGTGCTTTCAGGTTTCCTGACTGACAAATCTTTGTGCCTCATCATAAAGCCACGAAGCCATTCCACAGATGCTATTTTATCACCCTTCCATCTTTCAGGACAAATATTATTCACCTCTGCATACTGAAAAGCTAGTTCCCTTGTTTGTTTTTTTGTCAAACCGTGACACATTTTAGATGCAGTTTTAAGATACGAAACTAATAAATCCTCTTGATGTTTAGAAAAAATGCGCCTGTTACCTATATTTGGGCAATGCACAAACTAATCCTCAGTATTGCCAACCTTTTTAATCACTTTTGCTAAATAGGCTCTCGATATTCCAAACACCAACGCTGTTTTATTGATGGACTGGTTGCCAGCATTCACTTCCCTTACAGCCATTTATATTGCTGAAGTTGCGGGCCTTTGTCGCTTATTAGTAGTTGATGACATGTTTTTCTCTTAATGATAAAAAATATGAAATGAGAATAAGGAAATAACATAATAAATATACATAATAATATAATAAATACATAATAGTAAAATAAAATGATTCAAACAATACAAAAAAAGTTTAAAAAAATTATTTATACTTTAAAAAAAAAAATATGACTTTTTCAGAACTTTGACTTAAAATTTTTATTAAATATTATTTTAAATTCTAACGGAGCTATGTTTTACAACTTGAGGAAAAGTCATTAAAACAACATATTTAGATAGAATAAGCTCATTGAAGCGTTACGAAAAATATATGAAGTCGTTAAAGCGCGAAACAATTAATTAGTTTAAAAAAAAACTAAATAGCTCATTCATAGCATAAAATGTCGGCTCTTTCAACAAATTGTATGTTTATAAAAATAAACTCAAATTAAACATTTTTTACCGAAACTTTAATCTAATATTTTTTGTGTAAATGAAAGGCAAATATATATATAACAACGAGGCATATATCTTTTATCAAATAATAAAACACACTTTATCTTAAAAACAAATAAGTAAACCCCCAAAAAATTACTTTTTGTGTTCAAAATATTTAGTGCAGCCTAACGGCGCTATTTATTTTAGTAGAACTATAAATTTTTTGTGGGTGACTTGTATCCAGTGTTGACACACAATGAGTAAAAAACAATTATCCCAGCGGGCACGGGTACGTTCATTGTACGTACAAAAGACGTCCGGACGGAACGTACAATTTTAGTCCAGAATCGGTTCAGGATGGAAATACTGATGTACGTCCGATTTGAACGTTCAATGTACGTCCAAATTTGAACGTACAATGTACGTCCAAATTTGAACGTACAATGTACGTCCAAATTCAAACGTTCAATTTCGGTTCAGATTTGGTTCAGGATGGAAATACTGATGTACGTCCAAATTTAAACGTACAATGTACGTACAAATTTGGACGTACACTTTATGTCTAATTTAGACTTAAGAATTTAAATTAGAAATTGAAGGTATAATTTATACTTAGAAATACCTAATTACAAGCCTATTCTGAACTAAGACTTATTCAAAAATGTATTTTTAAACTTTCCTTTTCTAAATACTTAGACACTATAAAAAATACTTAAAAATTACTTTAAAATACTTAGATTTAGTTTAAAATAAAAACGACTCATTAAAGATCATTGAGATTTATTGTTATAAAAATCTTGTTCATCTTCCGCTCTACAGTCACGCCCACCACCATCTTTTCTGTCGGGAGCACGTTTTAGAACGTTGCCAATAGCTTGGTGCAATTCATTTAATTTATACTTTGGCATGCTTTCTAAAATAACAAAAATTTAAATATTAAATATTTTTAATTGATGATGTTCGATTTTTAAGCAAATTAGGCTTTTTACAAATTATTCATTAACTTTAAATATATAGCATTGTCTACTAACAAGGAGCTAATAGGTTGCTTCACCATTTAACCTGACAAAACAATGCTTTTTTACTTTATACTAAATTAGATCCATTTATTTAGTTACAATTTATACCAATATATTTATAATATAATTTATACCAATAAAACTATGAACGTTTCATTTCAATTAAATAAACTCATTCCTTAAAAAAATGTTTTAGTAGAAAACAACCTACCCACAATGACTCTGAATACTTTTGTTTTTATGAATGATTTTTTATTTTTTCCATTCATGTTGTAACATGCCATCAACTTGTTTGTCATGAGTCTAAAATAAAAAAATAACTTTGTTTTGAAACAAATTTGACTTTACTGAAATGTTCAACAGAATTTCAGTATGTCAGTTTACCAGTATTATTCTTCTCTAACAAACTTACTTAGAAAGTATGGCTTTGACATTTGCATGACACGAATTTCCACCAACCATTGTTAACTGTCTTTTCTAAAATCAAAATAATGTTATATCAATATATCTCTCTATATCTATCTATATACTCATATATCTATATATACAAGTGTATGGCCTGCAAGGTTGTAAACATGGATATAAATTTAACAACAAAAAGAACCTCATAAGTTAACCGTTGGTTATGCAAAAAAGTGTATTAACACATGTTTTACTTACTAAAAGTAGACATTTTGCAACATCAGAAAGTTCATCATCAAAAACCTGAAACTCCTCTAAATTATCGAACTTCTGCACATGATATGAAGAATGTTCAGGTTCCTGTGTCGATATCTTGCACTGCTCCTCAAGAATTTGAGTGAGCAAATGAATTACTTTATATTGAAATTCTAAAAATTTGGAAGGTGTATTAATTATTTACAAAACATACATGAGCAATATTATAATGTAAAATGGGAAAATACCAGACTGAATTTGTAAATTAGTTTTAATTTTCATTTTTTATGTATATAAAAAAATTCTTAGTAAAACTTGCTACACTTTATAGTAAAAACAAAACAATAAAAAATTAACAATAAATAAATTTACTAGCTTCAGGAAGAGGAAATTTAGATATCGAGGTTTTAGTAAATTGAGTTGCTTTTACTGGTGGCATTGTAACTTGTTTGGAGGAAGATGGTAGGTTTACTGAACTTGAAGTCATTTGTAGGAACTTACTTACAGGGATTTTAGAATATGTATTATCTGTAGATTTTACTACAGATGATACAAATTGTGATTGACAGGACTTAACAGCAGACGCTGAAAAGATAGAAGAAGTTTTGGAACCAGAAGATATTATTGCTGAACTCTTTGAAGTTTTGAAACCAAATGATTTTGAAACTGCTTGCTTAGAACGTGGCTCTGTTATAGCAAGAGGGGGACAACCAGGATTTGGCAAAGCAGAACAATGTGAAGATACATCGTAAGGGGATCGCGATCTAGCTCTAACAAACATGGGCTCTTCAGGACATACAGCTAAAATAAAATTTATCTTTAGTATATATATATATATAATATATATGAATCTCTAACTTGAAAAAGGGAACATGTCCTCTTTTTCAAGTTATATATTGTATATGATATTATTATTGAAATAAAAAATATATATTATATATGATATATATATTGCCCATGGCACTTATCATACAATGAAATTTTTTAACACAAAACACAATTAGTGAAAGTTTGTTAAATCAATAAAAAAACAATAGCAAAAAACATACGTATTTTATGTATTGTTCTATATTTAATTCCTTTCTCATTTTCAAGGTCAAATCACAAGATTTGTCTATTTGCTTATTAGAATACGCTTCTGAATCGTCACTAGTGAAGTCAAATCCTTCACACACTGTTTTATCATCTAAATATTTTAATACTGCATGTGTAATTATTAATAAATAATTAAAGTAAACGTCTAAGCCTTTTACAAACAGTTACTACTTAAAACTGCCAATCAGTTAATTAGTAAAATAGTATTTAAATACTTACTATGACGACATTTTTCCTTAAGGAGTGGAAAGGAAAACCAATCATTATGTGGTATTGCCTGCTGTTTACATGCTTTTAAAACATTGATACCATTGGGCCACCTCACAAACTGTTTTTCATTTACTGCTCCTTCAATCCAAACTGACGGGATTGTCAGCTCTTCTTCTGTTGATCCCTCCAACCATACTGCTCGGCACCAAGACATTTTAACTTTAAAGCAATAATAACTAAAGTTCAAAATATATATTAAAAGTAGCAATAAGTTATAATATATATATTTGTGTGAATATATTTAAATACCCTCAACAAAGTGCTTCCTTACATATGCAATGAAAATAAAAATTTAAATTTTATTGATATAGAATTAAAAAATGATCACGAATTGAAATATAATTTTATAAAATTGTAATTGTTTAAATACAATAACACAGTTAAATAAATAATTAATTTAAATAAACACAGTTTAAATACTTTGCACAAGATTTTCAAATACCTTGTATTTAAAGTATTAAAAGTTGGACATTAATTAAGCATATGAAACATAAAAACCCCTTGAGTGTTAACTATTTATTAAGGAAGCTAATATATATACATACAAAAACCCTATCAACCTATCTGTAACACTGGAATAATTAGTATTAGGCTCAATTTTTCTTTTTATCAATTATATAAATGATGAATATGCTATACTCAAAGCAACATTAAATTTTTAAATAATTTTTTTTTAAATTATAATATATGTATATATAAACAATAAAAAGTGTGGAAAATAAATGCAGCAAAAAAAACTCTCAGAAAAATTATTGTTTCGATTTCTCATCATTATGCAGTAATGGAAATATTGATAAGCCTCTTTTTTCTTCCAAACAAACACACTTCCTTTGAAAATCAGCAATTCTCAGAGTTTTCTCCACAACCTTATTAAAATTTATAGTTCGAAATAATAAAATACCAAATTTCATAGATGGAGCTGGAGAGTCAAATACATTTTCTAAATACATAGAACCGATAACATTACATTGAAATGTACCATCACTATTATTAGCTTTAACAAATGCAATAGAAGAGTTGAGAAGCAAAAAACACCTATCTTTTCTGTTAGCAGAGATTTTACTTTCTAAATTTTTCTTAGGTAACCCTCCTAAAAAATTTTGATACTCATGTTGCCGTTTTGAAACTTGTGAGATTGGATTAGATGAATTACGTATACTCTTTTTTATTCTTTGAAGAAAGTTTTCAAAAGGAAAGCAGGATATTCTGTTAAGAGAACATGAATTAGTTCGACAATCATCAACTAGGTGCAAAAGGTTATGGACATTGTAAACTGTGAATGTGTTAATATATATATACTTGGCTTGATGCACAAAATACTTTAATAAATTACATGCATAATCTAAATACGGAACACGTACACTATCATCATCTTGTAACAATATGGTCATGGCAAGACTTAGGGTTAAAAAATGTTCATACAACTCCTTTGAGACAATACCTCTTAATGCAACCGAGCCAGTATATAACAAAAATTGTCTGAACTCGGTTGCTTTCCACCTATCTAATTCCTTTAAACTTCGAGGTTGTCGTGCAAACTCACTAGGCATACATCCAGTAAAAGAAGTCAATACTTGAGATATCTCTGAAATTTGAGCAGCAGATATTTTTCCACCAGGACCTTTTTTCAGATAATTTAACATACGGCGCATTACGCCTAAGCATACTAGATGCATGTAGTCTAGTGTAAAAGAGTAAATACAATCAATACCAATTCCAATTAAAGGAGACCTATCATGCTGATGACCATCACAGTAGCCAAACTGTTCAAAATTATTGTTATCTCTTAATTGAAAGATTCTTTCATGATTAAAAACAACTCTTCCTTCGTGTGTTCCTTGGATAGTACACCTTTCACAGGAATCATAACCTGTATGATTTTTTATGCACTTTAGAAAGGCCCTAGATGGTGCATCACAAATGAACGACTGAATCTCTATGCTTAGGTGGCGTCCATTAAACAAAATGCCATTCTGTCTTAAATAAATCCATTCATTGACAAAATCTAATAAATAGTCATTAACATTGTCGGGTTTATGATCTCCACAAAAGATAGCAATGATAAAAATGTCAGAATTATCAAAACATGCAAGTATTGGCCACATGCACACACTTGATGATTTAAAAAGTGGAATTCCGTCTATATTTATTGATAGTTTGATGATATTATCGTCAAATTTTTTTTTACTGAGGACACTTTCGATTCCTTTACATATTCCATAATACGCATAGTCACCGCCACATTTTCTTTCTGTTTTTATTTTTCTTGGAGTTTTTAAGAGAGTTTGTGCATCTTTAGGAAGAGAAGAATCATTTTCGCGAAGGATAGATAAAAGTTCGTTAACAGAAAAACGAGTCCAACGATTTCTAACTGCACATTGTGCCAGTTTTTTATTTAATAGTGGAATTTCAACCTCATCATCATAATCACTACTACTGTAAAGATCTGGAATTTCACCTTCAGATTCACTACTGGTATTAGGATAATAATCATCGGTGAAGTATTCATCAGATAAAAATGTTAAAGATTCCGACGTTTCATCGTTATCATTAATTGCAAAATCAACAACATCATTTTCTTTTACAATTGTTTCATCTTCACTAGATGAATCTAAAAGAGTCTTTACTTTTCTATTAATTCTTTTCCATTTTCTTACATTTGACGCCATTTTTAAAACATATACATACTGTATATTAACTTTAAGCCACGCTTTTGAAATATTACCAAAACTATGATTATAGTTGATAATAACGACAAATTTTATTTAGTATACGGCTTATCTAATAAAAAAATATTTAGTATAGTTGCTATTTAAGCACATATTATTTGAAGGTTCAGTTTTGGACGTACGGGTTTTGTACGTACATTGTACATTCAATGAACGTACTATTTAGGTACAAATCCTTAAAATTACGTAC